AATTGGGAATAAACATCAGCCAAGCAGCCCAGGTAAATCCTGGGAATTGTTCAAAACCCCAAAACAGAGCCCAGCGAGCTCTAAACCCTTTTGGGAGTGGGATGTTCCCAAGTGTATGGAAAAGCTCACATTCCCATTCCCAACCGTGCACGGGATCCTACAGAAAACTCTGGAAAACCTCACATTCCCTTTCCCAAGCGGGTGCAGGATCCTACAGAAAACTCAATTTTTCCAGGGAAAAACCCCAAACCAGAGCCCAGCGAGCTCTAAACTCTTTTGGAAGTGGGATATTCCCAAGTGCATGGAAAACCTCACATTCCCATTCCCAACCGAATGCAGGATCCTACAGAAAACTCCATTTTTTAGGGAAAAAACCCAAACCAGAGCCCAGGGAGCTCTAAATCCCATTGGAGTGAGTGGGATGTTTCCAAGTGCATGGAAAACCTCACATTCCTGGGCACAGGATCCTACAGAAAACTCAATTTTTTAGGGCAAAACCGAGGTAGATTCCCATGGATCCACCCCCAAAGTGCTGGGCGGGAAACCCAAGATCAAGCAGGGATTTCTCAGTCACCCCAATGCCTGAAAGCCCGTTCCAGCCCAGTCCTTTGGGATGGCCCCGTTCCATTCCAGTGCTTTAGGATGGCCCCGTTCCATCTCAGTCCTTTGGGATGGCCCCGTTCCATCCCTGTCTTTTAGGATGGCCCTGTTCCAGCCCATTCCTTTGGGATGGCCCCATTCCATCCCAGTCCTTTAGGATGGCCCCATTTGATCCCAGTCCTTTGGGATGGCCCCATTCCATCCCAGTCCTTTGGGATGGCCCCATTCCATCCCAGTCCTTTGGGATGGCCCCATTCCATCCCAGACCTTTGGGATGGCCCCATTCCATCCCAGTCCTTTGGGATGGCCCCGTTCCAGCCCAGTCCTTTGGGATGGCCCCGTTCCAGCCCAGTCCTTTGGGATGGCCCTGTTCCATCCCAGTCCTTCGGGATGGCCCCATTCCAGCCCAGTCCTTTGGGATGGCCCCATTCCATCCCAGTCTTTTGGGATGGCCCCGTTCCATCCCAGTCCTTTGGGATGGCCCTGTTCCAGCCCCAGTTCTTTAGGATGGCCCCGTTCCATCCCAGTCCTTTAGGATGGCCCCATTTGATCCCAGTTCTTTGGGATGGCCCTGTTCCATCCCAGTCCTTTGGGATGGCCCCGTTCCATCCCAGTCCTTTAGGATGGCCCCGTTGTTTTGGGATTTGGGGTTCTCACCGTTCTTGCTGATGTCGAGCTCGCGGAGGTTGACCAGGCTGGCGATGGAGGTCGGGAGGCTGGACARGTCGTTGTCGGGGATGCTCAGCTTCCGCAGCGCCTGGCAGTTGAACAGTTGCTGTTGAAAAAAAAAAAAAAAATCCATTTGGGATCATTAGAGACACAGAAAAACCCCAAAATCCCATTGGCCACAGCGGGATTGAATCGTCCCACAATTGGGTTTTTTGGGAAGGTGTTCAGGGWTAAACTGAACAGTTCATCAGGAGCAGGAATGTGAGTCCAAACAGAGTCCAAAACGGCAAAATCTTGTAATTTGGCTATTATTATATCCCCTAAATTAGAATTATTGATATATAATTAATATATAAAAATACATAATATATTAAATAAATTTGTATATTAAAATATTAAATACATCATACATAATTAATATTGTRTTTCTATATTATTACTATAATATATAAAATACATTATATATATATTAATATTGATATAGATATAATAATATCTAATATAATTACAAATATCAATAGATAAATATTGTTTATATAATTATTGATTTGTCACGTCTGCCATAAAAATCCCCAGATCTTTGTGCCTCGTGGCAAATTATTTTGACTTCACAAWTAAATCTCATGGCAGATTTTAAAATGTTGTGACTGCATCCAGATGAAATTAATTATCCTCAAGATGCAAAAACGCTTTGGCATTATCCAAGGCATAAAATCAGGACTCAATTCTAATTTTTCACCCCGATTCCAGTTTGATCAAAGTGGATTTTCAGTTTTTCAGTTTTCCCCAGGAAATTCAGGGGTTCTGGGCCCCACATGCCCTTTGTGGGCACCTCACGAGGGTTCCTCCACCACCTTCAGCCTCTTTCCAGACTCCTTTTTTGGATTTTTTGGGATAAAGTCCAGAGGAAACTTGGGAATGCAGAACAATTGGATTGGAAAACTCAACCATATATCAGTGGAAAAGCAAATCAGTGGGAATGGCGTGAAAGTTCTGATGCGTTACGTCACTTTGAGTACATTTTAGATAATTTTGAAACATTTCTGTCATAAACCTTCAGGAAAATCTTGATTTTCCTTCAACAGAGGAAAAGGAGAGGGAATTCTGGGGATAAAAAATGCTCAGGATGAGAGGAAATCCCATCCCGTGCTGGGACTGTGCTCCCACCCCATCACAGGGAATCTCCCACTGGAAAAGGAGCGATCCCTTCCCCCTGAACCCAAAAGTTTTTCCTCTTTTAGGGAAACACCTCTTTTGGGACTGGGAGTGACAGAACTGAGAGTCTGCAGGGTCGGGCTGGATCCTGGGAATGTCCAGCCCAGGGAATGACCCGAGTTTGGGGACACAGACACTCCGAGCCATGGATTGGGTGGGAAATGGGATGGATGAAACTACAGGAACAGGATTGTTGATGGAAAAGGAAACCCCAGAGCGCATTCCTGAGGAACTCCTTTGGCTCGAAATTCCGAGTCCTGGACACGCCCAAGGTTTGGGAAGTGCTGAAGGGAGAAGCCAAATTAAACTCGGGAGAAGCCCAATTAAACCCTTCCCTTTGGAATGGTTTTGGGAAGTGTTGATGGAGAAACCCAACTCAAACTTTTCCCTCGGGAATGGTTTTGGGAAGTGCTGAAAGGAGAAGTCAAATTAAACTCGGGAGAAGCCCAATTAAACTCAGGAGAAGCCCAATTAAACTCGGGAGAGGCCCAATTAAACCCTTCCTTTGGGAAGTGCTGAAGGGAAAAGCCCAACTCAAACCGAGTATCCGTGGGATATGGTTTGGGAATGGTTTTGGGAAGTGTTGATGGAGAAGCCCAACTAAAACTCTTCCTTTGGGAATGGTTTTGGGAAGTGCTGAAGGGAGAAGCCCAATTAAACTCGGGAGAAGCCCAATTAAACTCTTCCTTTGGGAATGGTTTTGGGAAGTGTTGATAGAGAAATCCAACTCAAACTCTTCCTTCAGGAATGGTTTTGGGAAGTGCTGATATATCAGAAGGAATATGAGCTATGGAATATGGGAATATGGCCCCAAAATTGTTTTTTTTTCCCCCACTGGATGTTCAGCAGGCGTTTTTTCCATTCCTGGCACTCCCTGACCATCGGGATTTCACTGGAATCATTCCCCGTGTCCACACACGGCTCTAATTCCTCTCAGATTGAACCCCAGCTGTGCTCCCGGAGCTGTGAGTTATAAAAACGGGGTTTTGTTCTGCATCCCTGGGGAGAATTCCATCCCACTCCTGTTTTCCTGCTGCTGATTCCAGTGACTCTGCTCTCATCCAGATCAATTTGCTCTTTATTAGTCATCAATTCACTTGACTCACACAAACCAGGGAYCTTTTTGCAGCAGAATGAAGTCAAAGGCAAAGAGAATAAAAAAGATTTGGCTGGATTTAACCAAAATAGGGTAAGAAATGCGAAATAATCTTGCAAATCCTTTAAAAAACCCCAGAGAAATACAAGAAATGAAGAACAAGAAAAAAAATCAGTTTCTAATGAAGCAGTAGGGGAAAAAAATCATCATTGAGGTACATTAAAGGGAAGGTAAAAATTAAAATAAAAGCAGCAGAATGAGTTTAAGGCATCAGGTCAAAGTAAAATAATTTACTGGCTYCTAGAGTATCACATGAAACTAAAGTAGAGCTGGACTTGAACGAGTTGTTTCCTCATTAAATAATAAAACACGATCAAGAGTTTTGATTCAAAGGAATTCATAACATCAGAGGCACAGAATATTTGGCAAAACCCCAGAAAATGACACAAAAATTTCCTCTGGAAGAAATTCTTTGAAATCCCATTTACAGAGGGAGGAAAGAACGGTAGAATTTAATATAAAACACAAAAGTTCACATTAAGTAACACAGCGCCAGTTTTAGGGAGGGGAAAAACCCTTTTGTCTCCTGGAATATTAATTCAGTAATGAGAAAAAGCTCTGAGCTCTGCAGCAGGAACAGCTCAGGCAGAAAATTTGATAAAGGAATTATTTCAGGGGTTGAGTTGCCGGTAACAATCACCAAAGGCTCAAGACAAAAAGGAATGAACATTGACATTAATCTTCCTTCYCACATGGGCCGGGTTTGGTTAAACCCCAAATTCAAATTATCTCCCTCATCCCAATTCCACCATTTGGGATCTCTTCCCTTCAGCCCTCGTTTTTTTCCGTACAGATTTATTTTATCTTGCACTGATATATTTGTTTTCTATCAAGCCCAAGTCTGAAATCTCTTGATAATTCCAAAGGACTCAACCCAAATATCTGAAAAATCCCTCCCTGAATGAGACAGTTCCAATATTCATCAGTAGCAGAAGGAAAATAAGAATAAYATAAGAAGACATTATTAATTATTATTATTAATGATTAATATTAATGACAGGGATGACCTTGGGCAGCTCCTCGATCTGGTTGGCATCGAGGTAGAGTTCCTTGAGGGTGTCTATAGTCTAATCCCATGGGAATTGGGCATTATCCCTGGATGCCCCACATCCTGATCCCACAGGATCAGGGTGTTATCCCTGGATCTCCATAGTCTAATCCCATGGGAATTGGGCGCTATCCCTGGATCTCCACAGTCTGACCCCACAAAAATCAGGCATTATCCCTGGATCCCACACAGGCTGATCTCATGGGAATTGGGTGTTATCCTTGGATCTCCCACAATCTAACCCCACAGGATCAGGACGTTATCCCTGGATCCCCATAGTCTGACCCCACAAAAATGGGGCATTACTCCCAGATCCTCCACAGTCTGACCCCACAAAAATGGGGCGTTACCCCCAGATCCTCCACGGTCTGACCCCACAAGATCAGGATGTTATCTCCAAATCCCCTCCAGTCTGATCCCACAGGATAAAGGCGTTATCCCTGTTTCTCCACAGTCTGACCCCACAAGAACTGGGCGTTACCCCTGGATACCCCACAAAAATTGGGTGTTACCCCCAGATCCCCCACAATCCAACCCCACAAAAATCAGGCGTTATCCCCAAATCCCCTGCAGCAGCAGGCCAGGGATTACCTTGGGCAGCTCCTCGATCTGGTTGGCATCGAGGTAGAGCTCCTCGAGGGTGTCCATAGTCTAATCCCATGGGAATTGGGCCACACTAATCCCATTGGGAATCCCCACAGTCTGACCCTACAGGATCAGGATGTTATCCCTGGATCTCCATAGTCTAATCCCATGGGAATTGGTCGTTATCCCTGAATCTCCACAGTCTGATCTCACAAGAACAGGGAATTATCCCTGGATCCTCCACAGTCTGACCCCACAGGATCAGGATGTTACCCCTGGATTTCCACAGTCTAATCCCATGGGAATTGGGTGTTATCCCTGGATATGCATAGTTTAACCCCACAAAAATTTGGCGTTATTCCCGAATCCCTCCCAGCAGCAGGACAGGGATTACCTTGGGCAGCTCCTCGATCTGGTTGGCATCGAGGTAGAGCTCCTTGAGGGTGTCCATAGTCTAATGCCCAATTCCCATGGGATTATCCCTGAATCCCCCACAGCCTGACCCCACAGGAATTGGACGTTATCCCTGGATCCTCCATAGTCTGACCCCACAGGATCAGGGCGTTATCTTCAGATCTCCCACAGTCTGACCCCACAGGAACAGCGAATTATCCCTGGATCCTCCACAGCCTGATCCCATGGGAACTGGGCACTATCCCTGGATCCCCATAATCTGACCCCACAAGAATTGGGCGTTATCCCCAGATCCTCCACAGTCTGATCCCATGGGAACAGGGAATTATCCCTGGATCCTCCACAGCCTGACCACACAGGATCAGGACATTATCCCTGGATCTCCATAGTCTAATCCCATGGGAATGGGGCGTTACCCCCATATCCTCCACAATCCGACCCCACAAAAATCAGGCGTTATCCCCAAATCCCCGCCAGCAGCAGGACAGGGATTACCTTGGGCAGCTCCTCGATCTGGTTGGCATCGAGGTAGAGCTCCTCGAGGGTGTCCATAGTCTAATGTCCAATTCC